CCCCCCCCCCCCCCCCCCCCACCCCCCCTTTTCAACTACACATTTTCCCAAAAAATCATTTTTCACTTTAAAATCTCTGTGCCAAACAAGCTTTTAATATGGTTAAGTTAGTTTCCTGTAATACATCTTTGTCGTAGCAAGTGGGTATAACCAAAAACTATTTCTTGTTTGGCTACGACCAGGGACAATATGCATGTTTGGTATACAACAATGGACAATGCTGCACAGATGGAGAAGATATATTTGTTCTGTCTTGTTGGCAAAATGTATGCTACTCTTTGCAGAATTCAAAAAGGGGTGGAATTTCTTGTTGAACAAGAATCAAAATATGTGTGGGATACGTTGCTGCTTTTATTTGTGTATTCTTAAGTTCTAGGTGACCTATCTTCTTGTGCTTTAGCATGTTTGGCTTTGCTTCTTTCTGCAAAAGAACTTGCTTTTTTTGCTGCTTATTTGTCAAAATCGGCTGAAAATATGAGATTTTATGGAAAAGGGCAGGTTATGGGATGTGGCTAGAGCCTAGGTATGCTTTTCTTTTTCCTCTTTATCATTCATTTTATAAAATAGTGTATTTTGGATTTCCACAATAACAAATCTCAGATATTCTTTTCTTTCCTTTTTTATATGTACTTTTCTAACATGTGTGTTTGGAAGGGCTTTTTCAAGGCCTAAAAAAAAAAAATTCTGAATCTTGAAACTGCTTTTGTTTTAAATATTGATTGTTTGTCTAAATCAAAAAATTTTGACAAAAAAGGGCTTTAAAAAGTTGTTTTAGAGAAGCTCAGAAGCTCTAATCGAAATTTTACGGGAAATTTTAATTGACATTTAGCTCTTGTTTGGTTTTGTTAGAAAGCATATTTTGGTTCTTTATTGGTTTGAACTAGGATTAATAACTAAGTTTCATTTTGTTAAATGTTGACCAATTTAAAGACATTATCTATTGGAGCTTGGGCTTGAAAAATATTTCTTCAAGATAGCACATATATATATGTATATATTAAGAAATCTAAGAGGGATTTAGCACCAAGGAGGTCAGTTCCACTTTTCTCAAGGACATCTAAGGGGAGAGGGGAGAAAAGGTTAGAAGAGAGGAAGAAAGGATTGTCATGTTGGAGTGAGGATGGTCATTAAGCTCGCTACGTGGGTAAATCCTTGTGCTTTTTATATGGAGATCCAAGAATGATATTTCATTACCTTTAGGGAGTCCACAGATTCAATTTTTATTAGTTTTTAGTCTCTTAGAAAATTGATTTATTTAGAGATTTTAGCCTACACCCAACTGAGAAAAAAAATAAAATAAATCCGAAAGAGCATACATGAAAATAAGCAAAACAAAAAATAAAAGGGGATGTCTCAACTTCGAACAATGTTTCATTTCAAGCTGATAACTAAAATTCCAACAGTGGATAATTAGCGTAAAAACATCCTTATCGTTTGTACTCATTGCGAAAAGGTCCCTATTGTTTTGCACTTGCTATTTACACCATAATTTCAAACCTTTCTTGTAGATTTGGTCCTTTATGTCACATTCTGTTAAATCCTTCCGTTAGATATGTGTAATTTGATGTAAAAGGTCCCTATTGTTTGCTGTAATTACGCAAATAGTCCCTATCATTTCAATTTTGACATTTGGATATTCAAATCGATATTTCTTTGCTTAAAAAGTCTTTTCATTCATTTTTTCCATTATAACATTATGAAATGACTAATTTATCATCTTTAAATAAACAAAAAGAAAAAATAAATAATATAAAAAAATTATATCTAGAGTTTCTAATTTCTTTAAAAAATTACAAAGAAATCTCGAATAAAAAAATTTAAAACATTCTAATAAAAAAAATATTTTATATTCCCAAATAACCGACCTACCCCTACTCGTACGCTTATACTCCACCACCACCACCAAAATAATTAAAAAGAGAATTAAAAGTATAAAAAATATTTGATGAGGAATAAACACCATTTTGTTTTAATAATTTTTTTCTATTTTTAATTCTTTTTTTTTACTTTTATTATACTGTTAATTATCTCTTTAATTAATTTTACAGTGGTGGTGGAGTGTAGGGGATGGGTGTAGGGTATATGGGTTAATTGGGAAGATGAAATGTTTTTGTTTATTAGAATGTTTCAAATTATTTTCTTGAGACTCATTTGTACTTTTTAAAAAATTTAGAAACTTTAGATACAATTTGTTTATATTTTTTTATTTGGTTATTTAAAGATGATGATAAATTAGCCATTTTATAATGTTATAGTGGACAAAATGGACGGTAAGGACCTTTTAAACAAAGAAATGTCAATCTGAGTGTCCAAATGTCAAAATTGAAACGATAGAGAATATTTATGCAATTAAAGCAAACAATAAGGGCATTTTGCGTCAAATTACACATATTTAACGGAATATGACGGAAATAACCAATTTTGCAAGAAATGTTTGAAATGAGGGTGTACATAGTAGGTTCAAAATGATAAGGACCATTTTCGCAATGAATACAAACGATAGGGATGTTTTTGCTAATTACCCCAACTGTGTTGCACTTTGTCACAAAATTTAAAGTTCTTTTCTACTTGGAAGTATTTTCTTATTTGGAGAGTGTAGACTTTAATTGGTTTGTTGATTATATGCAATAATTACATATTTTGACTTGTAAAGTCGCGTTAACGTAACATGCTACTATGTTATATTTTACAATTTTACTGGCTATACAGGCCACTCATATGGCAAGGTGGGTGGGAGGGGGTGAGTGATTATTTAAAAATAAATAAATCACTCATTCTTACAGCTAGCATCTCTCTATATTTTAAACTGCTAGGTTTTACAGAATGAACACAAAAAACTGGAGCAAGATTTTTACATAGCTTGAACCTCAAACAACTATACCCAATAGTAAAAGCACGTGTATAAATGCAAATCCATTGTCATGTGTAAATCAATAACATAAAACATCTCATTATTGTCCATATCATACGGAATATTATCCTCTTAATTAATTCTTCACCTTTTCATCTTCTACCTCAAATGCTGACACGGGAAATTTTTTAGAAATTCTGGTGGGTATACCAAGCGTTAATTTTTCCAAAAACTGGTAATATGGACAAAATTTTAAACCAATTATTAAAAGAGAAGGAATAAGAAGGATTTATGAAAATGTGTGTAATTTTCTTTTTGGTTGTCAAAATTTCACAAGCGAGTACAATTTGGAAGCGTTTTTCAATTCTGCATATATTTTTTTGCGTGATAATTGGCCTTCGGCAAGCATTGTCAAATTTTCGAGTTCAAAATTTTTTTTAGGGTTGTGTTTTAGCCATTTTTTTTCTATTTTTAGTTAGTTTAAATGTATTTTCGTCATTTTTGTCATTTTGGTAGTTTTTTTTTTTTTTTAATTCTACAAAATTAGGATTTCAATTTAATTAAGATTTATTTTGAGTTTTTAAAATATGTTTAGGAGTTTGCAAATTACACAATTGGAGTTTTTTTTTTTTTTTTTTGGTTTCTTGATGGATTCCAATAATTTTCACGCCTGTTTGAGCAAAATTCGATGAACCCTTGTTTGTGCATCACAAAACAAGAGCATTTATTATTGTTCACGTTTCCTCCTCTGTCAACTGGCATCCTAAATTTGGATATCAGAAATGGTTATCCACATGTTAGGGTGCGTTTGTCTCCAATTTTTATAAAAATGAGAATGAAAAATATAGCTATTATAGACCTCACACAAGAGATAAAAATTCAAATTTCGTGGCTTGATGTGATGGATAATTGTCATATTTTTTATTTTAATGAAAAAAGAATGGAAAACAAACAAGGACTTAGTTTCCTCATCCTACACTCCTCAACAAACGCCGTGACACTTCTATATATTACGATGCGCAGTGCCCGATTGTACGAATTTGTTGCACCTTGCTCTTCATCCGCTACCCCCCAACGAATCTGGAGCAGGACCTTGGGTTCATCTTTTAGAGTAGGTCGCAAGATTTATGCGTGCATGTAGAGATTAATATTATACTGTATAAATGAGTCAAAAACTCCAAGGCTTGTAATTAATTATTTTGGGTCTGGTCAAGTACTCTTATTCGCAAATAATTTGCTGCCAACCTGTTAAATTTGTCAGCTTTTCCAGTCAAAGGTTCCTATTAGTTAATAATCCTCTTTACACCTCTCATTCCGTGCAAAAAGAATTGATCAGGAGACAAAATCAATCATGGGATTCACCCCACATTTTTAAAAGATACTTCTCACATTTGCTACAACCACCTTTGGCAAAGAAATCAGAATTTGCCTTCTTAATTTTGGGCCCCACATTGGCCCCACCAGGTTTAAGGTTGTGCCTATATTCCATTGTCACTTGTTCAAATACTTCAACATCGAACATGTTCAAATTCAGCCCTATATTCATATGATCTCTCACAAATGCGAAGGGCAGTTGATCCCTTGGATTAAATGCTTCCAATTCATTGAATAGAAGGCAGGAGAAGAGATTACTGGCCATACTATGCTTCCTCAACATTAGAGCACTATCCGGCACATCTGTAAAATGCATAGATGGATATGACACATTTAGATAAAGTAAATTAGATGGTATCAATTAATATTAGAGGAAGAAGGTAAATTTTTGCTTATTTCAATTTCTATCCTGTACTATTGCATATAAACAAAATGCATATTTATACATACGACATGTTTGATGAAGTAAACTTGTCTATTTGTTCAATTTTATCTGATTACGTAGTTTGTAGAATGTACAAACGCATATAATAAGCTTGAAAAGTGAACCTGATTGTATTAAACAATATTAAAGAAGCAAGATAAACAAAAATTTTGTCAATTATGGATAATATTTAGTTCTATCTAAAGTTACTACAAGACCGATATACTAGAAGAATAAAAAGCAAATTGTACATAATAATTAGTCTTCTAGCAAAAGCAAGTTGCATGTAATTTAGGGTAGTGATTATAGCTTTATTAGCAAACTCTAGAAGCCAGGCCCCACCTTTAGACAAACTTAAAAAAGAGACCTAATTATCATGGTTTAGGCATTTCTAGCCCAATTTGACAATCATTCTTTTAATTTTTTTTTTACTCATTTTTAATCACACATTCTTATAATAAAATATTCTACTCGCATTCTCAAAATAAAATATCTTTATGTAAACTCAAAACTTTTTCCTTTTTTTATCATACATTCTCAAAAAAAAGTACTATTCAAAAATTCCTTTTTCTCAAAAAAAAAAAAAAAAAACTGTCAAAACATGGGCCTAGTTAGTAAATCTTTGCAATTATTGTCTTAAGTTTTTGACAAGTAACCTTGAAAAGAAGTTTATTGCATATTTAGCTCTTTATTACAAATTCTTTATAACTTTTTTTTTTTTTTAAATTCATTTTTAACCAGCACATGAATTAATAGCTTTTTCCTATTTATTAACCACACATTCTTTATAAAATATCACTTTTCACAAATTCATTCTCAAAAAAATTAACAATAAGCATGGCCTTATTGTGAAATTGATTGTGGCCAAAAGATTAAGATTTTAATGTTCACGACCTTAGGAGGAGTCTAATAGAATATATCACTTTAGCGCACTGCACAAGCTATGGCTTTTTTAAAAGTGACTTCAGCTAGAATCAATAATCCTTTAGCTTTTGAGTTACCAATTACAAAAAGGGATCTATATCCAACTGGCAAATAGAGTGTTGTCATTAATTTTTATATCACATAAAAAACTATAGAACTCCATTGCATGTGAAGAAATAGTGATATTCAGTTTCATGGAGGACAAACTCAACCACTGTAGCAAAGAAACAGATACTGACAATGGCAGATTCGTAGGATTCGATAGCATTGAACAATATTAAAAAAGAGAAGATTCGTTATAGTGTTTAGTCATGTCCAATATTGCATATCAAACAAACACTGAGTTCATAAACGTAATACCTGTTGGATATGGCTTCTTTGGTGTCCATGGTTCCAAGCCATGCTCACAGTACGTCTCCATTTGCGTCTTCAGTGCATCAACATCCCACCATTTCTTCCATCTGGCAGTTGCCATTGTCTCTTCCATGGTATGAACATAATACGGATGTCTTGATATAGCCATATCGACATTATCTTTAATAACTAGCGAATGGACTAATAGAAGTGGATCGATAACTAGCTGTAGCTTTGCGTCAACCCATATGCTATATTTCGAGTTAGGAAAAAGCCTATGAACTAAAAACTTGGGTATGACTCCATTCATTGCTGCATTTTCATACAAATGCTTGCTTGAAACTCGAATGACCCTCCATGCACCAATCTTATACTCCTTGGATTTTCTTGAAATTAATTTGTGATGGTTTAAGCCCTTGAGAGTAACATCATCCACAAACATGAAAAAACATACATAATCAAGGGTTTTGGATCCTAGGCCTTTTGGCTGCCGGATTTTGTCGTGATCATTGAATATAGCAGAAACGACCACCATGCCGTCGCATTTTTCCATTGCGATACGATCTGAAAACCCACAAAACCACTACTTATATAATTCTAATACCTATCAAAATGGAAAATGTAAATGTTCACAATTACAATGCACTAAAAGTCTAAAACAACTAACCAGAATTACTAATTGGAAAACGTTTAAAGAATCCACAGGGGATGTCTCTTCCGTCCTCACGGTGATCGAAATAAGAAAATCTTTTCTCAACACTGAAATTCCCACCAAAAATATCAGCATTCCTCTGCATATACTTTAAAGATTGGGAGCCTAAAGCCGTCGAATTCCTAAATATTTCTTTGATTTCCTTCAAAATCTCCCAATAATCTAACAAAATGTGAAAATCCCATTATTTAAAAATCATAATATAATCAAAAACCAACAAGCATTATAATGAAATACATATTAGTCAATATTTCAATTTACCTGAGAAAAAAACAGGGGAATTGCAGGATGAACGCAGTGTAGGAATGCCATATTTGTGTTCTCCATAAGATGAAGGGTAGAAAAACAGAGGGATTTGAATGGGATCGAAGGGAGATGATCTGAAAATGCATTTGGTTGAAGAAACAGAGAAATATAGAGCGAAAAACAGAGAGGAAAAGAGGTAGAGAAACGAGAAACAGAGGAGCTTTGATTGGCAGAGGAGTGGCGTCGATATTGCCTTCCCCATTTACCTAATTAGGTTGTAAGATGTAACTATCACCTAACGATAATTCTATGAGTTTCCTTCTTTCTTTTGGACACTTTTGCAGTCTTATCAAAAGAAAATATTCCACTCCAATGGTCCCACAATATAACAAGGAACCATTAATTTCATGAATAAATCCACTTGTATTCTCGTTCATCTGTTCAATGTGATTAAATTTTAATTCTAATTTTCCATGTGAATTTATTTGTAAAATTGACGGTCGTGATACTTGAACTCGGTAATTTTGTATGCTATGATAATTTGAGGGTTGAGATTAATTGAAAGAACTTCCTTTCGGAAGGAAAGCAAAAAATCTTTTACTCTATAATGGACTGGATTGAAAATTCTTATTTTCATCAAAAAAAGGAAGGTTTAACCTTTTAGATGAGTTTAGTAACATCGTATCAAGAGTGGGTAAAAAAATTTGAGTTCAAATCTTGTCACTAGTTATTTATGAAAGTTTGCACGTACTAGACTGTTGAATAGAAAATAAATTTGATCTGTATGCTGAAAACATAATAATATAGTCTTCCCGTAGTTTGGATGAGTTGATTAATAATTTCTCATTCTAGTGAATGTGGTTAAACCTATAAACTTCAATCATATGTCTTGAGATCTAAATTGAAAATAGATAATGCCCTCGTGTGACCAAATCCAACAATCTTGGTATGGAGATTGAGGAAAGCGATTGGAGCCAAAAGAGTCAAAATGCATTCAGGGGAAATTACATATATACAAGTACTTAAGTTTTCCAATTTTAAAAATTAGGTGTGAGGTTTATTTCAGGTATTAATTAAATTATTAATAATATTATAAAATTTATCCACCCACCTCAACCCCACTACAAAACCTAAATTCTCTCTCTCTCTCTCTCCGATCACGAAAACCACATCATTGATCGTTTGATCCAATTAGTGACAACCACAACCTGTAACACCTAACAACCGATGGCATATCCAAGTCCTCAAAACCATAACCACCACATCAATGGTCGCTACCTACAATAAAAACAACCAACCCCACGCATAACCTCCACAATTGAGTTTACAGTTTGCCCAATTTCGCACTCCATTAGCAACAACCTCAAACCCCTGTTTTTAGTCTGTCTTTGTTGACTCTGTAATTTACAGTGAACTCGTACAAATAGGCCCTTAACAAACGATGCTCACTTCTCCATCTCGGAAGGTAATGGCGCTCACAAGTTGTGCTGTAAAATGTCAAAGCTCTTAAATGCTGGTTCGACTGTAGATCTGGCAATCATGGTTGGAGGTATGACAGTGTGATGTTGTGGTATATTATTGTTGGTGGTTGTGGTTTGGTGAAGAAGGTTATGATGTTGGATTTGATGTGGTGGTGGCAGCGATAGCGGTGCTTCTTCTTGTGGAGTAGGTAACCCATTAGATGGTCTTGTTGGTGTTTTTGCAAATGGGGTAGTGGTGCATGGTGGTGGTGTTCAGGGTTTTTTGTTGGGGGGTGGTGCTTTGTGACCAACTATTAGACTGTGTTGGTGGTGGTGGTTGTAAGTCATCGTGGTGATGGTGAGTGTAGTGTTGGTGGTGATGGTATGTGACCAACTATTTGGTTAATCTGTGACCAACTATATAATTGTGATCTAAAAATTCGATAATTGTGGCTAACTAATTTGAAAATTTGTGACCGAAAAATAAGTTATGACCTATAAATTTTTTGATTTGTGGCCAAATAAATAAATCATGACCTATCAAATTTTTGGATTATGACTATGAAATAATCTGTGATCAATTAATTTGATAATATATGACATTGTGACCATAATTATGCACCTGTGATCACTAAATGTATAATTGTGATCTTAATCTATTTAATTAATAAAATATATTTAATTAATTAATTAATTATTACCCGAATTTTGCATATTTAAACTTAAATCTTGAAATTGAGCCCCGTTTGATCCCAATTAAATTAAATTTTTATTTTTTCTCTTTTATTTTCAATCACACAATCTTTTATAAAATAATATCACACATAAATCGAAAACTTTTTTTTCTTTTTTCAATCACTCATTTTTAAAAAAATTACTATTCCATCCATTTTAATTTGTAAAAATGAAGGCCAAACGAGAGCTAAATTGTCATAATGCTTGACTTGTGAATTTTTCCAATCACAATACCCCTGGTATCCAATTTCAGGCCTAGAAGTACAAGGATGGTGTCCTTTTTCATCGAGAGTTTGTTTTTCATTAAATTGCTCAGTTCAACACTTGTCCTAAAAGGTAATAGCACAGATGGCGTGCAATGCATGCATGCATTGTTGAATATTAAATTATGAAATTTATTCGTTTAAGTTAAATAATTGCTCCTCCATATTTCCTTGTTTCTACTCGGGTAATTGGCACAAAACGTTTCCACCTTTTAATTTTATTGTGCAAAACTTCTCTATCTTTCATTTTTTGACATTTTCACCCCTACCTTCTACATTTCATTGCGCAAAAGGTCATTTTCATCAAATTTTTACAATTTTATCCTTCCATTTAAATAAAACAAAAGAGAAGAAAAAAAAAACAATTAACTAATTGCAACCAATGTCCCAAATGGATCTAAAAATTCAGGACTTCTGTTGCAATTAGTTCATTGTTTTTTTTTTTTTATAATTAAAATGGAAGGACAAAATCATCAAAAATGGATGAAAATGATCTTTTGTGCAATGAAATGTGGAAGATAAAGGTGAAAATGTCAAAAAATGAAAGGTATGAACGTTTTGCACAATAACATTAAAAGGTAGAAACGTTTTGTTCCAATTACCTTTTCTACTCTACTTGAAAACCTTCAAGGTCTTTCAGATTATAATAAAATCAAAACATTTCTATAATCCTAGCAATCAGAGCATCAATTTTGAGTAATGTATTCTCTCTTTCTTCTTATTTGCATAAATGGTTTTTTCTATTCGTCCTTTTATCCTTGAATCTTAGACTATTTTGATATCTTTAAGAAGGTCATACTTTTTCATTTTAACTATTCTTTTAATTTTGTCATTAGTATCTGTCAAAAGGATTTTTTTTTCTCTACTTGTATCTTTAAGAAGATAATATTCTCAAAATTATCATACTTATTTTGAATGATACTAATATTTATAGGTTGTTTGGTTTCTTTTGAATGAAAATTATAGTGTCTTAGACGTTAAATTGACTACTGTTTTCTCAATAATTTTAATTTAATGAAGCACCATAATTTTTCTGGTAGCATTTAATTTCTTTTACAGAAAACATTATTTTTTATAAAGTACCTACAAACTTTTTTGTCTAAGGCCCCAAGTTTGATTAAGCCCTTGTTTGAGCCCCATTTTAGAGGAGAAAATGAATTTTTGAATAGTGTATTGATGAAAAATGTGTGGTTAAAAAATAAGAAATTTTTTTTGATTTGTATATAGTATTATTTTATTGAAGAATGTGTGATTAAAATTGTGTCAAATCACTGTTAAAAAATATATTTTGTGTCAAATCACTGTTAAAAAATATATTTTGTGTCAAATCACTGTTAAAAAATATATTTTGGTGAAAAAATGGGACTCAAACAAGGGTTAAGCCAATTTTAGTGCTATTAAAAAAAATAAATCATGAAAATGAAATAGAGAAATATTTGAATCACAACTGGGATTTCAAAAGATTGACCAGCCTGTTATATCCGTATAAAATAAGAATTAAAATAAAAAAGTTTAAAATTAAATCACTGGAATACTTACTCGTGACCGTACACTTAAAACCCTGAAGTGGGCTCTATAACTAATGGACCATTGAACAGTGAACTGGTCCATTTACTAGCGGCCGAACTTGCAACAATTTTATTCTATAGGAAAAAAAATAATCATAATTCAAGTGTATAGTTTACACCAATTCAAAACTCAGGTATATATATAATCAATTAAAAATATTTATTCATTAAATATAACAAAATCACAATTATACAATTAATAGTCACAAATATATAATTACAGTTCACAATTTATTTATTAGTCACATATTATCAAATTAATTAGTCACAGATTATTTCGAGGTCATAAATCAAAATTTTTATAGGTCACGTATTATTTCAAGATCACAAATTAAAAATTTTATAGGCCACAAATCAAAAAAAACTATGTCACGATTTTTCTATAGGTTATACATTTTCAAATTTGTTGTTCACAAATTATTTTTTAATAAAAAATTAACAAATTTTAGTGTCACAAAGAACCAAAAGTTGGTCATATACACCAAACACCCCATCTCATCTCAACCCACCACCAATACTTGGTCATAAATCAACCAAATAGTTGGTCACAAACAATATTCCACCTTGCCCATCGCAACACCACCACCACAATCACCATCACCACCAACAACAAAAACAATCACCACCACACAACCGCTGCCTGCACCACACCACCACACAACCACTGACCACCACTTCGCTGTCAACACACCACCTCGCCTCCGGTTCCACTACCAACAAGAACCATCCAAATCTCCAACACCACCAAACACAACAACCACCACCACTCCAACAACCAAAAACACACCAATACTCTTATTGTCGCACCACCATTTGTAAAACCATATCCACCTACACCCAACAAATAAAAAACTCACACATCTGTCCACCTTCATTAGTACAACGGCGATTGTGCACCGCGTCTGCTTCGAACAATGTCGCTCATTGCCACTCTTCGAATAGCGGCGCTGGCATTGCGAGCGCCACTGTGCAACGGCGTTCACAGCAAAGCGCTACAGCATAGCAACTCTTCGAGGAGGTCGTCGCTATGAGGTTGTGGTTTGCAACGACGACGGTTGCTTGTGAGAGAGAGAGAGAGAGAGAGAGAGAGATGGAGTGAAATGAATTTAGATTTTAGGGTTTGGAATTGGAATGGGATGAAAGTAGATGGGTATATTTTATATTAATATTAATAATTAAATCAATACCTGATTTATGTTTCAAAAACATTCCAACGTGAAGTTTGCACTGTATACTTGAAAAGCCTAGACCCATCTAATTTCCACTTTTGTATATA